CGGATGCAAACAAGACGAGGGAATCGGGAGGCGGAAAGAGCAGGTTGGCATCAACAATAATAATAATAATAATAATAATATATGTAGTTGCATTTCATAGTCTAAACAGTTTACGATGAAGACTGACTAAAATTCAAAGAAATTACGTTTGGATTAAATTAATACCTCAATCTGAACAAACAGTGTTTTTTGGTCTTCTCTTTTTTGGGGAGATTTGAGAAACTTCAGCTTGAAATTCGTGTTGACAAATAAGCCAGGAGCCAAAATATTTTAGTCGTTGTCCAAGTCAATTGATGATTAATATCTTGTTATAGGCACATTTTAAGCTTGTTATTGAGTACATGATTGCCGCTCCTGTTGCGAAATCACGAACAATAGTATTCTGATACGAGAACAATGGGATTTGGCAGACAGTCACACATTTAAGGAACATGACAATTCTTTTATTATTATCATCTGTTTGCATATTAACCGTTTCATGGCGATACGCAACCTTCTACAGATATAAACATGGACGGCAGTAAATACGAATAATAAGCAATTTGACCTCTAAGCAGTGTCCTTTCAAGACGTGGAGATAATAGGTCACCAGGGCTTCCTCTCCCTTTTTTAGATCTCAGCAATATTTGTCCCCTTAATATCCCTCCCATCACCCGTTCTGTTATCAACTTACCGACAGTAACACGGAATTGGAAACACGATTATGTGATTACAGTTTCCGCGCCGGCAACCGTTACACTACCAAACAATTTCTTATAAACGGATAATAAAGGGTGCGGCAGGAATAACTCCCTATCCTGGGTATGACGATAAACTACATCCAGCAGCAAAACCTCTGCTCGGGAGGTTTTGAGGAGCTTGAAACACCTCTTAGTTGCTGGTGTTTCCAGGTCCACCAGAACTCGAGGTGGTAGCATCTGTTAGGGACACAACTATGGGCTAATATTTAACCCCCAAACTGGGGTCAAAACACTATGAAAGTGTAAAAATAGGTTTTAATACCAGCAATATATTTTTGAAGAAAAATATTAACAGCAATACATTTTTTGAAAAAATATTACCAGCAATAAAAATCTTGTCGGCATTAAATAACTGTTGTGGCCTTGTTAGGGCTAGAAACAAAGGTACAAGAGAGGAACTGAGTTAAACAAATATATTAACAGAAACCGTAATACAAACATATACAAACGAGAGTGTTAGAGCAAGAATATTCGGTCCGATGCAAACTTTCCTCCCAAAAGGCAGTACCTGCTCCTATTTATAGCTGGGATGTTCCATGCGTGCGTGGGTAAATTACCATAAAAATAACCCAGTGAGGTTGATATGCCGTAAGACAAAACAAACCAAACCAAGAAATAACTCCTATAGATAACTCCCAGAAATCATTTCCACTTAATGGTAACACAATAATTAGATGAAGACATCATTGTTAATAATGTTTTACTATTGTGTGAGAAATATTTTGGAAGGTAGATGTAGGAGATATTTCAACTGGACTGTATATTTTGAGTTAAAAGAAGTTTAAATAATTTTTGTGTGTATACGACTATTGATCTCATATATAGCAGTAAATTCTCGACAGTCTCCTCACAGATGAAGAAGAGACTTAAAGTAACGAAGGTATGGTTTGGAGCGACGAATGCTGAGAACATTATAGAGATCAAATCCAAGAAGAGGAAATATAACGATATGAATAGCACGTAACTGACAAGGCAAAGTACGAGACGAAAAGGCAGAGACGCATAAAAATAGTAAAATATGTTTGAAATTAACACATCGGGAAATAATTTGAAAGTTGACCGCTTGTGAGCGCGTACGTTTACGGGATGTTCGGTTTGGTTTGCTTTGCTTTGTTTTACAGCATATCAACCTCAATGGGTATTTAATGCCAACATGATTTTTATTGCTGGTAATATTTTTTTCTTCAAAAATGTATTGCTACTAATATTTTTTTTCTTTTCAAAAATGTATTGCTGGTAATATTTTTGCAAACATGTACAGTGTAACCTTGATATAAGAGAGTTGTCGGGACCGGAGAAGAAGTCTCTTATATCCGGGTTTCTCTTATATCCGGGTTTGGTCTATTATATATATATTAACACAGGCTCTAATTTGGGACCAGAGAAAATCTCTCTTATATCAGGGTTTCTCTTATATCAGGGTTTCCCTTATATCCGGGTCTCTTATATCCGGGTTACACTGTATTGCAAGTAATATTTTTCTGCAAAGATGTATTGCTGGTAATAATTTTTTTTCTTCAGAAATGTATTGCTGGTAAGAATATTTTACAAAAATATATTGCTGGTATTAAAACCTATTTTTACACTTTCATAGTTTTTTGATCACAGTTTTGGAGTTAACTATTTGCCCATAGCTGGGACCCTAACAGGGTGGACCTGGGAACATCAGCAATTAAGAGATGATTTCATGCTTCTCAAAACCTCCTTATCAGAGGCCTTGATGTTGGATGTAGTTTGTCGTCTTACCTACAACTCGGATGTAGTTTATCATCTTAACCAGGACCTCATTTGGAGCGGTTTTACTCCTCTGCAGATGTGCAATCGGCGTATATTGAATCCCCAGCCGACAAGGCGTCGGGACGTCCGGGAATAAGGGACTAGTCTAATATGAATGCTAACATTCAATGTAAACAAGACAGCGTAGGAAAGAAACGACCACGCTCGAAGTCCATGGAAATTAGAAAGACAAACTTTATTTATACTAAAAACAACGAAAAGGATAATACATGAAAAATGCACTAATATTTTTTTTCATTGCTATGGGAGTTTTCCAGCCAATTAAAATAAATTATATAAAAAGGTGATTTTTGTACTTACATTACAAACAGCGGATAAGAAAAGAAAAGGATTAATCAGTTATTTTCATCTTATTCTTAACTGTTATAACTTTAATAACAATTTCAAACAACATCTACGTGTTTTAAAAATGTGTTATGAATTTGATTTAACCCATTAAAATTTTCGGCAAACATTGCCAGGGATGTTAAAAAAATTTTTAACCTTACTGCTAACTCCAACGGAACACCGATTCGTATTTTTTTGCAGCTCAGTTGCCATAACGACATCCACTATGCTCTGTTTGAGGTATCAATGGGTTGAAGGAAGAAGGGATGATGACGTCGCCCCCATTATGCCTATTAGGCAGACTTCTAAAATGCCCTGTGTAAAACTCTGGAAATCTCGTTAAAAACCGTGCGAGTCATCCTTTTATGTATCTGTAAGGTGTGGCTAAGCCCAGACGAGTCACATGAGGATCATATATGATCAAAGTAAACAAATAAATTTCCCGCAAAATAAACTCAAAAGAAATAAAGAAAAAAACGACAATTCAAGCGTCTGTTAAATCTTGACACTTGTATACATTATTTTTTAATCTTAAAATAAATTACATTGCATCAATAAAATATATGCGCATAAATATAACAAAATGTTTGTTTTTCTTATTTTAATTTTAATTTCCAACAACTAAGCATAGTTTTAAGAGATAGAAAATGTCTTTCGAAATAAATGCGAGCTCAACTGCTATGTAACATTTACTATACTTGATGACACCGAGGGCTGATGTATATCTCCATAGCTAAAATAGTAATTTGAAAACACAAATATATAGAAGAGTCCTGAGAACAAATTGGACACAGTGGTCCGGAGAAACGGAGTAAAGCAATAGAAAATAGGAAAATTTGCTTGGAAATAAAGAAAAGAATACTGAAACGCTAGATCATATCTAATCTCTACTACTGCAGTGAATGCTGGCCAATTTCTTCACAGAAAAAACGACTTGAAGAGATATGGTTTTACCAATGAAACCGGAAAATACAAAGGGCTGCTGATGGATTAGTTTTTACGGCTTATCAACTTTCTCCAGCTTATTTTAAATATTTTTAGATTTTTTAGCAATAATAATGATTTTTAAAAATAGAAATATTTTTAGACTTTTTAGAGATAATACTGATTTTTACTGGTATGATTTACTAATTAACCCATAGCCGGGGGAGAAGAAGGTAACTTTTTGAACATGACGTACCAGAGTGTAATTAGAGCTCGGCTCTCCTAATAACAATTCCAAACCGTTTTCCGTTACAACACCCGTGCCTCCAAGCTTACAGCACCTGGTAATCCAAGACGGTCACCCATCTAGGTACAGACTAGGATCGACGTTGCTTAACTTTGGTGATGCACGGGGGACGGTGTTTCAACGTGATATGACGGGAAGTCTGTAAGGGCATACCGTGTGGGTAATGAAAAAATTGAATTATCTGTGCAGAGAAATGAAAACATCTCATAGAAATCAACAACAGCATCGACTGACAAAAGATCGTTTGGACAGAAATCTACAGACTTCGTAGGGACGCAAAATATCTTAGTCAATGGGATATGAAAGCCATTAAGTACCAAATAACATTTGTAAATCTACGTTCTGCTCAGAAAACAAGATCATGTCCTGAGAAAAGAAGGAATAATCAAAAAATATATTTAAAAAAAAAGAGAAAACCGAAAATAACAACAAAAATGATATGATCTTTGCAAAAATTGCAATATGAGCACTGGTAAAAAAAAAAAATTGCTGAAGACATTAGGTTTATAATACCCAGAAATTCATACACAGATGTCCTCAAGGACACATGGTACAGTGGATAAAGGCGCTAGTTAAAGAGTGTGAGTTCAATACCTGGTTGAAGCGGTGGAGAACTTGGAGAAAACTGCTAACTGACATCCATTAGACATGGCACGTGGAACTAGAAAAGTCTACCCCAGTGAGCGAAATAAAGGGTTCAGTTCGACATTCCAACCACCTGAAGAAGGCCGGAGCGTACAACGGTCGAAACGTTGTGATAAATATGGCGACAAAGATGAGGACAATAGTCCGAATAATATAAATAGTGTACATAATACCTCATCCCAGAAATATAGACAAAAAAAAAAAAAAAAAAAAAAACAAACAAAAAACGATATTTCGTTGGTCTTCGAGAAAGGATAACTATGCCTATCTATTGTTCTCGGTCTAAGGTAAACTTAGTAAGACATAAATAAAACACCCAGGAAAATGCTAAGAAAAATGAATCATTTTATTTCCAAGCAAATGACATTTATGTTTTGAATATTGTCCCGAATTTCTCAGAAGAACGCTCAAATTTAACCCACTGTTAATACTGAGATGCATTGTCTCAATATAAGTACCATAAGAACAGACATGGTTCTATAGTCTTGGTGGCAACCGGTCTAGGAGAAGCAATAATCCTCAACTATGTATAAATAGTAGATCAGTCTGGGCTCTATAGCCATGGTTGGCAACCAGACTATGAGAAGGACAACTCCGAATTCAAATCAGGAACCAGAGTCCCTACGACAACACAGATACCAGCTGACTTGGCGCTGCATTGGCCTATGCCTTTTTCTTGGGTAACATCGGTGGCTTAGGGAGAGAAGCGTGCTGCATGGGCAACTGCCGATCTCTCATAAACATTCTACCCAGGCCTGTACCCTGGAGGGATCATAACTCTTCAGGGGCAGATCCTGTCATTTCAGTTACCCTATTTAAAATTTTATCATTTAGTTCATAATTTTCTTATATACTATGTTTCACGTTTTTAGCATATATGAAAAAAAAGCACACGATATTTTCATTTTCAAAAATTTGAATCAAATGGCCAATAAAAAAAACAAAAAACAAATATGTAAATTTCAAAACTACAAAATTTTAAGAATAGTTTTTTTTTTTTTTTCGTTAAACAACTTAAAATACTTGTAAATTTCACAATTATCACTAAAACCTGAAAATACCTGTAATTACTTGACAGGGTTATTCAGAAAACAACTTGATTTATCATGAAACTGACTTAAAGACTGAAAAACACTAGTAAGAAAAGAGTAAGTATTGTTATCAGTAAAAAAAGACAACCTAAGATTCCAAGTACGAACCATAAAACAAGTAAAAATATCTAGGAAGTTCATTAACAACGGGTGAAAAACGCTGCAACAAAATCCGAAGGCGCAGAGTAATAGTCTTCCAAAAGCTAAGCAAAGTATTAAGAAAAAAATTCAATACAATGGAATCTCGCTTCACGAATTAATTCGTTCCTGAAGGCCGTTCGTAACCCGAAATGTTCGTAAACCGAAACTATTTTTCCAATAGGAATCAATGTAGAAAAAAAATTACCGTACAATAAAATTGGAAAAGAAACGTACGGTATAACACACAAATGTATACAAAACGGCGGTCGACTCGGAGATTATTCCATTCGTGTTAACTCGTTTTGGCTATGTTGTTCGAGGACCGAAATTTTGTTCGATAACTGAGGCATTTTCATCTCGAATTTTCTGTTCGCAAATCGATTTGTTCGACACGTGAGACGTTTGAGAACCGAGGTTCCTCTGTATTTATAAAAGAAAGTGCATGAATGCTACATAATATAGGACCTCCTATATGACAATGAAGAAGAGACTTGAGGCAATAGAAGTATGACTCTACAGAAACAGGATGAGAATTCTGCGGACTGAGAACGTCAGTAACGACAAAATATTAGGAAAAATGGAAACAAAAAGTACATTACAGTTAGACTCAAGAAGAAAGAGTTACTAGGGTGCATAAAGAAGAAGAATAGCTTCGAGAATTTGACATTCAACAGACATACTGAAAGTAAGAAAGTCAAAAATAAGCAGTGAATAAAATATAGCTTGTGTAAACGGTAACAGGGATTAGGAATTTTTTTTTTTTAAAGATACAACTTAATAGGAGTTACAAAGGAGTGGAAGTAGGGGAGAGCTATAATCGTCAAAGCCTGAAGGAACACGGCACATACAAGAAGAAGAGCTTGCTAAATCTTAAGAAAAATATTTCGTGATTTGTTCAAACGTCTTCTTGTACTAACGCATAATTAAGTTTTTCTTCTATGGTTTAAAAACATTAAAATGAAGAGATTTATCTCGCATCAATATCATTCCTTCTTTTGCATTTCATTTTATCCATATTAAAAGACGGGTGTAGACTAGAAGCTAAATCTCAAAAGGAGAACACAGCTACAAAACTACATTACATGATACTAGAAATATCCGGGAAAACTTCGCGGTTTTTCTCCTTGATTTTTCTTGATGAATCTTAATTCTTTAGATTGAATAAGCTCATGCCGAGTTCCACGACAATAAATTAAGTGTAGGATTCCCCCTATCGCATCGTTAAATATTTCAGCTTAAAAACCTAAACAAGATATTGTAATAACAATCATAAATATGAATACTGTTCGTTATTTTAAGAAGTAAGTGGGTAGAAATGAAAAGATTTGAAATTGACATTTTTTTCATTTCAATAAAACAGACGTTAAACATTTGTATCTTCTTTTTTTCTTTCTCTCTCTCTTTCTTTCTTTCTTTCTTATTGACACAAAGTAGCGTCTCTGATATGGGTTTTCCATCTATCCACGTGATCAAAACGGAATAGTTCTTCATCTATAAGGTTTTGGCAGGGCATAACGGTCGTGCTAACTAAGCGGGAGAATCAGAATTAAAATGAGAGGTTACTGATTGGTACTCTGGTTAACATTGTAATTATGTTAACATTTTATCCTGTTCTATATTTATTTCGTGTCGTCGCTTTGTTTGAATTTGAATTCACCTGTAGCATTAATTGTACTGATCGGATATTTTTTTTTAATGAAATTGCACAATTCTGAATATGACACTAACCCGATAAAATGCTTTCGGAAAACCAATTATTTATCCGACCCCGGAGTAAAATGATGGATTTCCGTAAACACTGTGACACGATAACGATAGTATGAAATTTGCGAGATGAAGGAAAAGACGAAATCTGGTAGGTCTCAAGATCAACAAGTAGCAGTTGAAAAGTCTGTGTAATATAATGAGAAAAGAAGGCCTGGAGTATTTGACACTCAGAGGGCATATAAAAACTTCAGCCACAGTGGTAAGAGGAACCTACATAATGAGCTTAAGTCAATGGATGGAAGAAACCAGCAAGAACGGGGTACTAAAAGCTAAGAGGGATATAATGTTGTGGTCAATCATGATAGCCTACGTCCTGAAGAGGCATGGCACTTTGACTGAGATTTTAATTTAGGTTTCTCGTCAAAGTAATTAGGAGAAAACTTTATTTAAAATCAATAATTGTCAATGACGATAGGTGGTCAGAACGAAAACAAACAGGAATAGACAGACATATTATGTACCATATTCCTTCTAATTAAATTTAATTTGATCTCAACACCTTGTTTATATTATGGAAGACATATTTCGTTGTTTTAATGTCTCTAACACATTACAGGTCGAGTTATTCTAAACTATACAGACTATCATTAACATGTTCCTTTCACTGTTTTCTATACACAGCTCACAGCCTGGGCTGTTCCTTTTACGAACAATCATATATTCTTTCCTCTTATATATTATTTTAATCATTTCAGCCCAAGCAAGGTAATAAAGTCGCTAAAACGCAGACGGTCATAGAGTGTGAGATATAAGAAAAGGAAAAACATTATTAACGAGAGAGAACAATAAAATAACAGGAATTATGAAGACAGAAGATAACAATTGACATTACATTTATTTTTTTGAAAATCACAATAGTGTTCCAGGAGTGAGAAGTGCGAAGGAAGAAACTTCTAGTATAGAACTTACGGTTGCATCTAGCCATTTCAGCTGTAAAAAGACGAGGCATTGCCGCTAATCTATTACTAATCTTAAATTCATAAAGTCTAAGTGGAAATTTCATTAGAACAATTACCATAAAAGTATTTATAGAAAAGGCAGAGGGAAGCTACATTATGGTGGTGGGAAAGTGCCTGGAGCCGAGATGTGAGGCCAAGAAATTGAAAACAACATTGCACATTCTTGGATTTTATCGAGAATCTCTAAATATATTGAAGAGTTATCAAACCATATGTAACATCACTATTTAACGTATGAACGAATGGCAGATTATAAATATGTAAGATAGATTCAGATAAGAATTTTTGTCTAGCATGAAACATTGAAGCAACTTTCCACGCAGTAGATCTAGCTGTTGATTCAATATAATATTTCTGCTTAATGTCAGCGGAAAATGTTACCCCGAGAAAGCACTACACAGATGACTAGTAGAGAGCAGTTTCGTTTTGGATGAGTTAAAATTAACAAACCATTCCTTGCCACAGTTAACAACAGATGGTAGGTAATTTTTTTAATCAGCTGATAATTTGTCCTTATCAAACCGATCAGACTTTCTAATTAATAATATTTTCTTGTTTTTATTTTACTAAAATTCGCCCTAAACAAGGCCCAAGAGCCACTCAAGCTAGACGTTCACTGATTGTTATGTGGGTGGTAAGAGTAAGAACTAAGAATTGCAGTTTATGAAGATATATGGGAAATATAACGGTTAATCCTAGACTTAAAGACCATAATGGTTGGGAAAGTATCCTCTCGGGAGTCTTTTTCATAAAGTAACCGTTCGTGGAAAGAGGCTGCAGAAATAGAACTACCTTCTTACTAAATGGAAGGAAATGTGACTCAGTGTACCAGGAAAGACGATTAATAGTTTTACATCTGAAATGTTCACTCAAATAGTATTTTGATTATAAAGACAACATTTCTTGTTGCATTGCAGTGTCTGGAATAATATATATATATATATATATATATATATAAAGGAAATATGTTGTAGTGGTTCCAACGAGAGAAAAGTATGTATATTAAAAAGAAGAGGGGTGCCGCAAACGTTTTTGGTTGTAATGTGGATTTATTGAGAAAAAATATTATACTTTGTTTTACATAATTTCACGACACGTGTTTCTGGTCTGGTCTCGCAACCGTCTTCAGGTGAAAGTGGAGATTTTTACATATTATTAAAAATAATTAAATTTTCTTCATGTTCAATGTGGAATATTCTCGACACAAACAGAATGTCTCATATCGAGAATATTCCACATTGAACATGAAGAAAAATTAATTATTTTATTATTTTATTAAGTATAATATTTTTCTCAATAAATCCACATTACAACCAAAAACGTTTGCGGCACCCTCTTCTTTTTTATATATATATATATATATATATATATATATATATATATATATATATATATATAACTATTTATTTAAAAATATGATTCCAACACGCTATTTTTAAATAAATAATTATATTTATGCTCTACTTTTGTATCGAGCACTATTTCTTAAAATAATAACAAAAATACTAAAGAACTTTGGATTATTTACTTAGCGAGTTCTTTCCTATTTTTCTATATATTTTTCACACACACACACACACACACACACACACACACACACACACATATATATATATATATATATATATATATATACATATATATATATATATGACAGCTCTGAGAAAATGATACACTGTTCTTGTCCTAATTTCGGTCTAATCCTCTTTATAAATGTACTGAATTGATTGACGGATACATTTCGCATGGAATTAAAACTGCTTTCTTTAGCTATTAAGAAGTATATACTAAGAGCTTCCGTGTTTTCACCACTGTTATACATTTCTCATTATTATTTTCATTGTCATATATTTTTCCTTATAATTTCAGTCGGTATTGACTTAACCTAAGCCTGATCGAATTTCCATTACAAACCTTTCGATACGTGACATTTTGTTCTGTTCATCTGTGCCAATGCCAAGCTCAACTTAAGGTTCAATCTTGCAAGTCCTTTCTATTTTTTATGCATTACGCATTTCTTGTATCTGTTGCCGTGGAAGAGTTCTACGATGTATTAATTCCATCTTTAACTCCATATTTTAAGAGCCTGCCATTTTTTTTTAGATATTAAGCGATCTGTCGAAGAACATGTCTTCTGTGCCCTTATTCATTGTGTCCTTTTATTCATACCTGCTATAGCTATATATGCATGCATACACACACACACACACACACACACACATATATATATATATATATATATATATATAGGTGACTATACTCGTTTCGAAAAACGCTCAAATTTTTGATTTGCCAATAATCAAATCAATCCCGAGGGAAAAAAAAGGTTTTAAAAAAAGAAAGAGCTAGAAACATGAAAGTCTGTCGAAAAAAATCGCACAGATACAGGTTTGAAGCCCAAAGAAAAAACCCCGACACGAGTAAACAACTAACTAACAAAAGAGCTCGATACAACCGTAGAGCAGACCTAGATACACCTAGTGAGCCAGACAAACCTAGTGAGCCAGACAAACCGACCCAAACCTACCTAAACGGATCGTCAGGGAAACCCTGTCGGTCCGCTTAGGGTGAAACTGACGATCCGCTTAACTGAAACCTGGGTAGGTTTGTCTGGCTCACTAGGTTTATCTATCTATCTATCTATCTCTCTCTCTCTCTCTCTCTCTCTCTATATATATATATATATATATATATATATATATAACCTGCTATATCTATATATACATGCATACACAGATATATATATATATATATATATATATATATATATATATATATATATATATATATAACCATACGCACACACACATACACACGTTTGTCGGGGGTGGCAATGTTCTGCACAATTCTCATGCTTCTATTCGTCTTCTGCCTGCCTGCGTTGCTTTGTAATATTTTTGCTTGTATTTTATGGAATGCTTTGATACTTTTTGTTGTTTCTTTTTCCTCTGCTCTTGAATTTCATCTAACACTTACTTCACATTTCTCTCTTTCTTTGAAATGTTTACTTATATTACATAAACAATTAATTATAACTATGACTAATTGTATATGGTAATTGTAATATTAACTGTTTCCTTATGTGGAAATATTTCATATTCACTGACCGAACAGAATTAATGCCGGGGGAAAATTGATAAAGACTAAAAACTAAAAACTTTTTTAGGTTTCTCAGTTCCACTTGGTGTTTTCGGTCTTTCCAGTATTGATGCGGGATACCTTCTTAAATTACACACACACATGCACACACATCTATCTATCTATCTATCTATCTATCTATCTATCTATCTATATATATATATATATATATATATATATATATATATGACAACTCAAAAACGAAGGATTTTCAGACATATCTTTATAATGAGATATATCCTTGTTTTGGTTAGCGGAACCCGCCTCTCGAAAAAATTGTAAAAGTATTTTGAAACACCCTGTACACACACACACACACACACACACACACACACACACACACACATATATATATATATATATATGTATGCGCACTTTAATTGTTAAATATAATGCAAGAGCTAAAAGACCTTTGGTTGTGTGCTTTCAGTATTAATTACAGGAATTATGCTCGCATGATTATTATTATTATTATTATTAATAATAATAATAGCAATCTTCCTCCTCCTCAGCATCACGTGTGATTCATTTCTTTAATCAAATCTATTGGACAAATGATTTGATGTTTTAGTGAAAATGAAAGCGAAGCAAAAATTATTCAATACGGAAAACATGTAAAAAAAAAAAAAAAAGAATTAGCACGAAAAAACTTGTGAAATTCCAGTCGCGTGAGCTGTCTTCATAAAAGTGTCCATCCGATGTAATTCTCTAATGGATGATAACTTCACCCTTAGAGCTTCGACTCTCCTTTCTATGAACCTCTGTGATTCCCGCTCTGCAACAATATTCCACCCATTTTAAGGAGGTTTCCTTTCTCTTTTTTTTTGTCACTCCCTTCTTTCGCTCTCTCTCTCTCTCTCTCTCTCTCTCTCTCTCTCTCTCTGATTTCTTCATTTATCTTTTTTTAGGCAATTTCATTCTCCTACCCTCTTTCTGTTCTGAATGTCGTGCCTTTTATTTTATTGCCACAAACAGGCAGTCAAACATAAAACAAATCCCGGCACGAACGTTTGTGCATGAACCGCAAAACACTTTCAAAAAGTGGCGGTCACACATGCACACGTGTCCATTGAAATGCCCAGAATTTCCTCTCTTTTTTTTTCCCGTTAGCTTATTTTCTTTTTGATTAACGTTCTTTTGTTTCGCGTTGAGGCTCTTTTTCGATTTAGACAGGCTTGCGTCAAGTTTGTTTCATTTTATTTTTTGATAGGGCCACTCATTTTTCCAAGTTTATATTTGAAATTCAAGTAGCATTCCGCAAGATTTTACATCAAGGATAATCACCCTTAATATTTTCCTCTCAAATGCTTTTATTTATTACACAAGGGAAACATTTATTGAAACACTAAATGGAAAAATGCTTTTTAATCTTTTCTATCATTCTATTCCCTTTATATCAATGAAGTTCGCACTGATAGTTTCCAGAAACTATAAATTATTAATGTGTCTTTCGGATTTCTTTGCGGGGCAAACTAATTCTCATGAGTAATCTTGGAGGTATCTGTCTCAGCTCTAAAGGATGAACCCTATCTATCTAGCTAGCTAACTAGCTACCTGACTCTGCTCATTTCTATCTATATATCTAATTATCTATTTATCTCATTCTGTTCATATCTATCTATCTATCTATCTATCTATCTATCTATCTATCTATCTATCTATCTCATTATATATATATATATGTCTCTCTCTCTATATATATATATCTTTCTGTCTATCTATATATTTATCTTTTCTCTCTCTCTCTCTCTCTCTATATATATATATATATATATATCTCATTCCTTTCTCTCTATCTCTCTCTATATATCTATCTATCATTTCTTTCTGTCTCTGTCTCAGTTTCTGTCTATGTCTTTTTCTTTCTTTCTCTCTCTCTCTCTCTCTCTATCTATCTATATATATATATATATATATATAAGGGTTGGACAAAATAATTGAAACACTTGTTAAATTCAAAGAAAATTTATTTAATATGGAGTTGGTCCTTCTTCAGCCGCAAAAACAGCTTTAATACGTCTAGGAATTGAATCATACAGCTTCCTGACTTCATCTAGAGGAATTTTCAGTCATTCTTCCATTAAAATCTTCTTCAGCTCTTTATGACACTATGGTGGAGGATAGCGGCTGCTAACTTGTTGCTCCCAAATGCACCACAAATGTTCAATAATATTGATATCTTGAGATTGGGGAGGCCACTCCATGTGTTCTCGCTCACTTTCATGCTCTTCATACCAATTCTTAACCACTCGAGCTACCGAGTATTGGAGCATTATCGTCTTGGAAGATGCAGTCACCATCAGGGAATAAAGTCTTGGCCATTGGATGAACATGATCTCCCAAAATGTTCAGGTAATCTTTGCTGTTGATTCTACCATGCAGGGCAACTATTGGACTGAGACATTTCCATGATATGGCGGCCCAAACTATCACTGATCCACCTCCACGCTTCACTGTTGAAAGAAGACAGTCAGTGTTGTAAGCTTCCTTGGGCTGCCTCCACACATAAACTCGCCCTGAAGTTGGAAAAAGAGAAAAACTGGACTTGTTTGAGAATAGGACTTGCTTCCATCAGTCTGCAGACCAGGCATTGTGATCTCTGAACCACTTCAACCTCTTTTGAATATATGCGAGTGGAGAGAAGAGGTTTCCTCACAGCAGCTCTTCCATGATATGCAGCCTTATGGACCTCACGGTGGGCAGTTTTAGTAGAAACCTAACTATTCAGATGGTTATTTGACTCAGCAGTCACTTTGGCCGCATTTGTCCGATGATGTTTTACCACATTGCGATTCAATGCACGTCAGTCCCTGTCAGTAAATTTGCAAGTCCGGCCCAAATTGCTACGGTTGCTAGAGGTCTTGCCCTGTTTCTCTAATTGCATTAGTGTTCTTGATATTGTAACTCTTGAAAACCCAAACATTTCAGCAATCTTAGTGATCGAGGCTCCTCCTATGCGAGCTCCAACAATTTGCTCTTTCTCAAATTCGGAGAGGTCACGCATTTACCTTAACTTTTACTAAATTCTAAAAAATAAATAAGACAAAAACAGTAAATTAGATAAATAAACGAATTTACAATAGATATAACCTGCAATTACGAAGATTTAGTTAATGTTCTTAATATAATAGGTCTTTGAAATATAGGAGTGGATTTTGCAACTG